AAATCAATATTTAAAATTTTATTAAAAATTTTAAAATATGCAGGCAAATTTGCCTGTGTTACAATCTAAGGGATATAGTATTACTAAATAACTAGACTAAACTCTATGCTAATTATTTATTTCTATATTAGGATATATATAATATCCATTCTTGAGTAGAGATCTAAGTTCAAAATTTCTCTTGCGTTTCCACCATTCTGTCAGTACAGTATCCTGCAATCATATTCTCGTGCGATATGCATGTTCCCTGAGCAAAGTATGTTTAACATACAGATCTCGTAAATCTACCACCTCTTGAGAGAACTGATCAGACGCTTTTAATCCAAAAGTGTCTGCATACTCTTGTACGTGACTTTCTTTTTTTGGCAGTGATTGTTGTTGTCGATCTTTCAATGGGGTAAGCTGGATTTTCCACTTTTTGTTGAAATTTCATAAAGAACAGCGAGCAGGGTTTTGGTATAGGGTTTCGATTTGTAGATAGCCTAAACTTCGATAGAGAGTGTATTGAAAACTTGCTTGTTGTTCTCCTTTAGACCAACTACTTTCACTTCATCAACAGAAACATATGCTTCTATTAAAATTTTTTGCACAAGAGCACCATCTCCTGCCAGTTATCTTGTACAAGAATGCTTTTAACTTGCTTGCTGAATATACAGAGGAGTCTAGCAGAGATTCAGAAATAGCCTTGACCTCTGTAAAAACTGTTACTTGTAGTTGTCTCTTCTACTTTCTCCAACAAGTTTTCTGTTTTCGTTAGTCATAAGTTTGGTACGAGTGATCATCAGGAAAAGATTGTTTGTAAATTTGTATTTTAATAAATTGTACTTTTATAATATATAGATATTATATATATATAATATTGCTATTTTTGCTATTTGTAATATACTAATTGCTAAAATTTTATTAGTTTTTTTAATAAACTTGTTTATTTAATTATAAGTTTTAGTAAAGAAGTTATTAAAATATTTTTGGCTAAAAATTTTAAATATTATAAACAAAAAATTAACAGAAGTTTAGTATTTAGAATGGTATAAATAGCAAAAATGATAGTATAAATAGCAATATCCTATATAAACTAATAAATTTTCTATTTTTAAAGCTAAAAAAATTTTTTACTCTTAAAACAAGTATATAATAAATTACAAAACTTAAATAATAAAAATTATTTTTTATAAAAATTATAAAATTGTATTAATAATAACAAGTTTAAAATTAATATTTAAAGTTATTAAAAAGTTTAAAATATTTTTTAAAGCAAATCTATTTGTTATTAGTAATAATAGTTCTGTACTAATAAAAATACAAGATTAGATATAATATTATATCTAATTATAGAATATAAAAATAAAACAAAAAATATTATTTATTAAATTTTGCAATAACTAAAAATTATACTTAAAAAACTACCTTTTGTTTATTAACAAAAAAATTTTTAAAAAACTTTACTATATATTATAATTTTTCTTACTTTAAACTTGTCTATGCTCTAACTTTAATAACAATAAATTTATTTATATTTATATTTATTTTAATTGTTGTTTTGATTATACAAAAAACTATCACTGCTAGTAACAAGTATATATATTTTTTTATTAAAAATTTTTACAATTGTATATTTTGAATTTATAAGCAACTATATTTTTTTTTATAATCTAAATACAAATATTATAAAATATAATTTTTATTTTCAAATATTATTATATTAAATTTTATTTTATTTTATTTATTTTTTTTAATGTAAGGTTTTGCCTTTATCTTTATTAATACTTTGTATTGAAGATCTATATATTAAATTTTATTTAAATATTTAATATTTAAAAGTACATTAAAGATATAGTATGTTTATAATATAATTATAAACAAATTTGCTTACTATTTAGAAGAAATAATTTTGCTAATATTTAAAATTAAAGTTAAAAATTAAAATAAAATTAAAAATTAGAAAAATCTTATTTATTTAGAAATTATTAATATTTACACTATCTTATAATAAAAAAAGTTTTTTTACTAAAATTTAAAATTAATATGTTTAATTTTAAGATAAAAATTAGTTTAAATTTTAGATTATATAAGGTTTTTAAAAATTTTAAGCATTTTTATTTAATATTTTTATTTCTTAATCAATTTTTTAAAATATATAACATCCCAAATATCAATATCCTTCGGTTTAAATTATAAATATTTAAAATTATAATCTAAAAAGTAAAATTCAAAAATTTTTTTAATACTAAATATTTTTTACTTAATATATTTAGTTTTAGCTATTTAAACCGGTTTAAAACATATATAGTTACTATAGTATCCAAACACTATAAGTATAATTTAACAATATATACTATATTATATTATCAATTTTTAAGAATAATATATATTATATTAAAATAAAATATTTTATATTAACAAAAACTTTAATTTAATAAAACCATTAAAAAACTAAATTTTAAAATTTTAATTATATCTAAAAATTTTAAAACTTTAAAACTTAATTTTTCAGCAACTATCTAATTAAATTAAATTTTTGTAAATTATAAAAATACCAAAATTTTTAGTTTGTAATATAAAAATTTGGTTAAAAATTTCAGAATAAAACTTTTTATTATAATCCATTAGAGTAAAAAAAAACTCTTGTCGAGTACTGTATAAACGTTTGTCACAAATACAATAACTAATAGACCATCATGGCATTGGTCCTTTATTTACAATAGATCACAACAAATTATAAGTTACTAATTTCGTTGCGCCTTAGAAACATTATTGTGCAAGACGTCTAAGAAGTTTCGAATCTCATTCAACAAATGATCAACACCTCCGGACTTTTCCTCTTCGACAAAATCAATAGGATGCCACTCTGGTACACGCCCTGACGATAAATTACAATTTTCTGCGAAATCCCTCTCCCAAGTATCTTTGTAAAACTAAATTAAAAATAAATATAAAATTCAATTTATCAACAGCAAATCAGAGTGGATGAAGTAAAAAATCTTACCGTAACACCGAAGAAAGTGTTTTGCGAAGGTTCGCGGCCTAAAACAATCTCTACTCCAGGAGGTATGGTTTGAAATTTATTATCACAATTCCAATGTTCATATCTTGTAATCTCAATTACATAATTGTCCCCCCACCAAAATTTCCATTTAAGCTTTTCACAGACAGAAGTAACTACAATATCTTCGGTATTGGTGTAAATCAATTTATTGTTTGGGCTAATTTGAGACTTATTTAGAATTTTGGTAAATATTTTTGAAAACTCGTAAAATACATTTAGTGTTACCTTAATCGCAATTTATAAACGAAGTTTCCTTGAGGGCCAAATTTATCATTGTTTAATCTTTTTGCCGTGCGAATGGAAAAGTTCCACGAATAGTCACTAAATAAACATGCACATACCAATATTTATCAATAGTTAATAATTTACAGATGCTGCTGTGATTATTAATCACTTACTAGTCTAAACATGCCATATTAACATTCAATACATTTCTTTCAGTCATAGTCGCGTTCCATAATCCAATTTTGTTATCATTTTTGAATTTGACGTCAAATACGCAATCTAATTTTGGATCCCCACGAGATTTGGGACGCATGTAAGCACGAATTTTGTATTCACGGAAAGGAGATCCCTCCCATTGTTGATCTCCTTGAGAAACAACTTCAAAAAGTCCTTTGAGTTGCTCATTATTGGTGGCAATACTAGCAGATTTAAGTATTTTTTTATTTGAGATAAGAGTACACAAACATATGTGGCAGCCAATGCTGAAATTTTGACCTATTTAACATAAAGTTTTAAAATTTTTAGGTAGGATTGTTAATGGGCTAGGTTGATCCAAGTTTCAACCCACTTCATTAATTAGACTTGCTCCAGATCTGCTCCAGGTTGCTCCAAATTTAAACATTTTTTTAAACCCACTCCAACTTGGGTTGGTTCAACCCGGAGAAGCTCCAGAGCATACTACTCCATTAACAACTCTATTTTTAGGGCATATTTTTGATGGCCTTTCTTTTTGAGTTAAGTTGGAGTTTATGGTCGAGTTGTTAATAAAAGAGTATAAGTAAATTTTTAATAAATACTCCGTGATCTTGATATAGTGATCGGGGTATTTTAATAGGTATATTTAAATGGGAATCCAAAATTTAAAACCAGCCAATTTCAGCATAAACAGCCACAATATATGTAAAGGTGTATATAAATATAAATCCTAAATTGGATAAATACGAACCAAGTAACGAACTTGGAATTTAATTTAGGACTCTTCAAAACCTTAGCATTCAATTTGTCGATTGGCCATAATGTTTCTTTAGGGTAATCTGTAAGACATATTTGACCAAACCTGAGTTTATTCAAAAAATAAACTAGTGTAAATATTAAATATTTGCAAAACGACGATGATGATCTTAAGTTACCTGATACGCATTTTGATTTCTTCGTCTAGCAAGTGGATCGCACCTAATGCTTGTAAAAGGGCATTCTTAATTCCTTCGACATTCTCTAATTGGATTCTAAAGGCTTGTGTTAATAATTTTTACACAACATGGTATAAATTGAAATTAAATCTAATGACTAACCTTTGTAATGTTTCTAAATCTACTGAAGATTCTTTTGGGTCATTTTCCTTTACAACAGTAGTAGGGTCCCCCCCATCTCTAACAGGTTCAAAATTTTTAATGGCAGTTTTCGTGTCCACATCGTGAGGAGGCATAAACCCATCAGGCATATTTGCAATTCTAACACGATATGGTTGCCTAGGTATATCAGGTATATCAATCATATGATGCACCCATCCATTGCGCTTTGACTTATCATTCAAGTTTATTGGAATACTCCGTCTCTAAAATAAATAATGTGATTATTATGCTTCAAGATCGCGGCCTCAATAAAGTAATGAAGAAGAAATTTCAATTATACCGCGACAGATTTTAAATAAAGAACTTTGACACGCATAGCGGCTTCTTCTACCAAATCACTTTCATTTCCAGCAATTTTAACCAACTATAATTAAAAGGAAAGGTAATTTATTGATCCTTGCAAGTTTGCTTTTAATAGTTTGCGATGTATCGATGCTTACCTTAAGGACTGGATCATAAAACATGTAACAATTGGTATCCATTCGAATGGAGTTCAGCACGTCTTCTTTGTCCCCAAGAATTTGCTCAATAGGAATTTCATTATTAGTAGGTAACACGAAATGTGCGTTATATGGCATTCTATCCCGAGGAAAATTGGGTCCGGCCATTTCTTTTTCCTTGGCAGCCCTCTCTTCCCTTCGTTTTAGCTTTCTACGCTGCTTTTCTGTAAGTTCCTTTTCTGGCTTTGCCCAAGCACTCTTGTTCTTTTCCTCTCTAGCTTTCCTAGCTTCCCTAGTTCTTCTTAATTCATCCTTAATTATGATAAAAATATATACATACATATGCATAAAGTTCAGATGGATCGTCATAAATACTCTAAGAGTTCGAAAACTTACATCCAGAATATTCTGAGCGAGAGTGTTCCATTGTTTTATTGCTTCAGCAAGCTCATCTCGGTTTCCCCACATTTCGATTTGCTTTAATAAATAATTGGCACTCAGGAAAAGGCAATTCAATTTCAACTATAATTTTCAATAACATAGGAATATACATACCGCATCACTATCGTTATAATTCATGTGTGTATTAGTTGAGGCTTCTATACGTTGTAGGTTGGCTTTTTTCTCGCCAAGAATTTTCTTTGCATCAATGTTAGCTGGAATCTTTAAGCAGAATTTACGTGTACAGTACAATATTCACGTAGTGAACTTGATAAAAACATTGAAATCTATAACTTACCAGCCATACTTCGTCGGGCATTCTCCTTATATGTGAAGAAATAGCGTCATTATTATGATTATGTCCATCAAATCTTTGTCTTTGTCGAGAGTAAATCGGTTCTCTCCATAACTGTGCCTCCTCCTCTTCATAATTTGCACCACTGTCCTCTAGCTCACGATAATAATTAGCCATTTTGGGAGAGATGAAAATTCGATTTTTTTGCAGATCATAACAAAAACTTTGATTTTACAGACATGTGATTAAACACGTCACTATGATTATATATAGCAATTCTTGAATGTGTGGCGAACTACGAATCAGATTTCAAGATCAGGTGCAACGTAACACGAACAGGAAAATTCAAAACTTTGTCAGCATGATTAAGTATCCATCTGATTGGTTGTCAATCCTTGAATTTTTATTGGCTGATTAGGGTAAAAATCCTACATGAAAATACAATCAGCTATAAGAAAAATTACCAATGAATCGATTATATCAGATTAAATTTTCCAGAAGCAAGTAACGTCGGAGAACAAAATTTCTTTAAAGTTTCGTTAGCTGTTTATAATAAATAGCTGACGAAGCTTTAAGGAAATTTTATTCTCCGACTTTACTTGCTTCTGGCTAGGGATGGATCAGTCCTGGAAAGACCGAATAAGGATCGGCCTTTTTAGCCGGTCTCATGATTAACCGGTCCCCGGTCCTGAGACCAGTTCGGACCGGTCTTCATAAATAGCTAATTAAAAATATTAAAAAATTATTTTAGACAATCGCTTATTTCAATTACCGATGTTATATGATTTAATTCTCTCCGCTAGCCAATAAGATAGTTAGAGGTCTGGGATCGAGACCGGACCAAATAACGTTAATGGACCAATCTTATTAGGACCGGACGGATTGGACCGGACTGATCCATCCCTACTTCTGGCAAATTTAATCTTATATAATCAGATTCGTTGGTAATTTTTCTTATAACCGATTGTATTTTCATATCGGATTTTTGCCCTAATCAGCCAATAAAAATTCATGGATCGACAACCAATCAAATGGATACTTAATCATGCTCGTTTTGTCAATAATGGGAAAAACACCAACACACATACCACAAAGAAGGCCGTTGCGTAACGTTACTTAATAGTGAAGGGGAGGCGGATTCGATTTGGCAAGGTCTAAGGCAACTATTGAGTGCGTTACAGAGGTACCAGGTAAGACTTTTAAAGTGCATTATGATTTAGGTTGCTTCTGGAGGCTTTTATTAATAGAATAATATTTATTATTATTATTATTTTTTTTGTTGTGTAAGGGATACACACACACTGCTTACAAGGGGAAAATTCAACCCTATTTATAAAAAATTTCATGGAAAAGTTTCACAGCCTTTTCTCATTGACCTCAAACCGTTCCCACCTTTTTTGACTAATCGTTTACCCCTTACTCTCACACAGCCTTGGCGTTTTCAATGAAGGAAGACAAAAGCGAAGAAATAAAAAGATGCACGCCATTTCTCCACCGTTAAATCCCCACCACATTACCACAATCGCGCTTCTTTGACACTGCCACGCTTTTATCCAAAGAAGGTAAAATTGAACCATCGTCCGATTTTGACCGTCATTGTAACAATCAGGTTAACCTTTCCCTTTTTAGGTTCGATGGTAGATCTTGCATTGGGGCTTGGCTTGTGATCGTCGCTTCAATGGGATTCTTGCGCATTCGCTCACGGGATACTGCGTTCGTACTACGGTCCAAGTCTGGGGCTTCTTGGCGGTAATTTCTCGAAGATTCAAGGTAGGGTTAATACACGGTTTTGCCTGTAACAATATAAAACTACTCTTCGCGCATTAACAAAAAGTTTCCTTGAGTAATTTTACTATATACGCTGCTAACCTCTAACCATAATGAAAGCCCTAACCTAACATAAGCGAACTTTAAAGAATCATGACTGCGCCACAAACCTGGCACGCATTCAAGTATTACCTATATATAGTATATTTGTCTAGGGATCCAGAATCGATAAGTTTTTGATATTAGTAGGTTAGTGATGTCCAAAAAATTTTACCATTTCGTGTAACCCGAGCTTCCGGACCTCGATCGGCTGGTTCGGATTCGGACTTCGGATTGGACCTACGAAGTGCTAATACAAGCATAATGCAAGCTAGCTAATATTATGCAAAATTACGATCTGAGCAACTTTACTTAG